TTGTGCCTGATCACCCGTCACTGCTGCATTGTCTGAAGGGCAGGGACAGTGGATCAGGCTACAAGCTCGCTATATGAAGTGCAGTGGTGTTCATGCTGTTCACAGGTGTAAAAAAGACCTTCTTCAACTCTTCATTAGACAGGGAGACTGAGTGAAGTGAGAAATGATTAGATGTTGCTTTTAATACAAACAAATGGTCTTTGCACGCAAAACGTATTCTCGTAGCTTCATAACATAATGGTTGAACCACTGATGTCACATGGACTATTTTAACGATGTCCTTACTGCCTTTCTGGGCCTTTAACATGTCATTTGCATTGCTGTCTATGCAGGGTCAAAGCTCTCGGATTTCTTCAAAAATATCCTAATTTGTGTTCCAAAGATGAACGAAGGTCTTAAAGGTTTGGAACAACATGAGGGCAATTCATGACAGAATTTTCATTTTTTGGGTGAACTATTCCTTTAAAATACTCATATCTCAGCTTAAAGGGATAGTTCACCCAAAAATGAAAATTCTGTCATTAATTACTCACCCTCGTGTTGTTCCAAACCCGTAATACCTTCTTTCATCTTCGGAACACAATATTTAATATATTTTTGATGAAATCTGAGGGCTCTCTGACCCTCCCATAGACAGCAAGGTAACTACCACGTTCAAGGCACAGAAAAGTACCAAGATGATTGACAAAGTAGACCGTGTGACATCAGTGGTTCAACTGTAATGCTACAAAGCTGCGATAATACTTTTTTTGCGCAAAGAAAACAAAAATAACGACTTTATTCCACATTTTCATCTCTATTGCGTCACTTGTGGATGCGTGTTAATGACAGTACCACACATTTGCTCAATGTAAATTCTGTCATCATTAATTCACCCTCGTGTTGTTCCAAAACTATTAGACTTGTGTTCATCTTCAGAGCACAAATGAATATATATTTAATATTCTCTCAGTTTTTGTCCATCCACTGAAAATCTAAGTAATGAAGATCGTATGGGTTTGTAATGACATGAGGGTGAGTAAATGATCACAGCAATTTTTTCTTTTTATATGCAAATACAACTACAAATCAGTCATTCATAGCTTGATTTCTCAGAAGAGGGTATTTTTGTGGCTCTGTGATACTTTCAAAACATTGGGCTCCATTCACTAATATTTTGAAACAATTCTTGCATTTATGCACACAGGAAAGAGTACTCACAGAAAATTTCCTTCAGATATATACTTTGTACCAACACCAATATTTTTATTCCGCTCATTCCAATAAGCTGATGAATTAGGACTGTCGAATGTGTCGTTTCAGTTTGTTTTAAACTTTATTGTAAATTGTTTGAACAAATTGTCAGAATAACATGTATTCAGGATAACTGTCTGAAAATTTTATTGCCAATATTAGTGTTTTAGCCATTTGAAATCATACATTGTAACTTTAAGCTCAGTTTTGTTTTTTGTTCTCTTTGAGTAGTATTCAGGTGTGCAATACGGTATGTATAAATATATGTTTGATGTATTTTAGGTCTGACTGTCTAAAAAACAGTGGTGGGACAATATCAATGATGTCTCCTGCCTCAGGGTAACTGCAGCTTCTGTACTAAAATCAATACTTTCTATTCCCTATAGAACATGACACAGAGGAGAGACTCAGATGGAGAACATACCCGTTGTTTGGTGACATGCCTCAGTCCGATGTGCGGCTGACTCCTGCACTGTAGAGAGAAGAAAAGAGAGAATGTATTGCTCTAGCACACACAAAAACACATTTCTACAGCTTGAAAAGACTTTGATTTTTGGTTTCTCACTCTCTAAAAATGCTTCAGAGAACATTGAATATAATCTGGACTAAAATTTGTATAAGAACAGTATTATAAACTGCATGATAGTTGTGAATACAAATCAAACATGGCAACCACACAAAGGTCGTCAGAAAACAGCGAATTTTATTCCTAGAGCTGTATTCAAAAGACAGACTCTCAGAAATAAGTACAAAAACTTCCACTGGGGCAGTACCCTTTCAAAATGTACTAGACCCTACTCTGAATTAGGAGATGGAGTTCCTAGAACCAAATATGTTACAAGATCCTGCTGTGCGAACAATTCAAAAAGCAGGAACTCCCTAGGCCAATATTTCTAGGAACTGAAAAGGTTTCTCTGGTGCAAAAGCCCCTAAAATGTGCCTTTTAAGCAGGGCTGTAAGTTTACTTTTTTTGCACATAGCACTGGTGCTACAAAGGTTGAACATTTTGTAGCACAGGCCAAACAGTTGTAGAACAAGTTAGGGGTGGGCAATATGGCAAAAATATCATATCACGTTTTTTTTTTCAGGATTAGGATATACACATAATATACAAATAAAACAATCAGTGCTTTATTTTTCAGGTACAGTATTTAGCAGTAGCCTAACATTCAAGAAATTGAATGAACAAATATTAAAGGGGTCATATGATGCGATTTAAATTTTTACTTTCTCTTTGGAGTGTTACAAGCTCTTGGTGCATAAAGAAGATCTGTAAAGTTGCAAACACTAAAGTCTCAAAACCAAAGAGATATTCTTTATAAAAGTTAAGAGTTAACCACGCCTACCTAAAACGGCTCGTTCTAACACGCCCCCACATA